ACCCCACCCCCAAGCCCACCCAGCCTCTCCCAACCACCCTTTTTCTATTGAAGCTTGAACAAAATCTCAAATAATTTCTGGTATAAGCAAGTAAAAAGTGCTCTTTGATTTCTTTTCCTCTTTATTTATTTACCATATCTAGAGCTAGAAAATGATTGAAATAAAGGAGTTGAAGGTACTCACAGCGAATGCAGCCAAAGCAGCATAAGACATGCCCACCAACCAGCCTTTTCCAAATAGTACTATCTCCCAACTTAAACAGACTTCTCTGAAAAGATGCTATTTGAAAAGCCTGGGGTATTGATATGAATATGACCCCCTTGCATCCTGGATATTTCTAACTATTTAAATGTGAGGGAACAGTTGCAGTGAACCTTTATTTAGTGAATAAAAGTTTAAAGCCAAAGGTTATTTATGGTTCTGCAGAGATGGGACCTGAATGGCTATTTACGAGCACGTGATTCCAATAAACTTTGTTTTATGGCTTGAGAGTTGACAAGCCAAAATATAATTCCCACCATAAATTAGGTTAAGAGCATACAAGTGCAGATGCTTGGTTCCTGGAGCAGCGATAGGAAAGTGAGAGGCTCCAGCTAGCGCCGGGCTCAGAAGGAGGCAGTTCTACTCCCAGCTCCCCTGCCCACTAGGAGAGAAAACCTGTAAGTCATTTACTACTTTTTCCAGGACAGCTCCAGGGGTGGGGGATTTCTCTGCCTCTCTTTTCCACCTGGGGTGGGAAGAAGTCCCATCAAAGTTAAGTCTAATTTCAGCCTAAACCTAAAATAACAAACAGAAGGGGGATCCCAGTTTTCTTCCCTCCCTCTGGACACAGAAAGTTAGGAATTGAGGGTTCCCACTTCACAAGAGGGTCTTACTGTCTCTTCTCCATGTGGAACATGCTTTAGAAGTGAAATGAGATAGTGGTAGTCTAGGTGGAAAGAGAGAAAGGATGAAGATGGAGATGGCTCTGCCTCTGCGATATCTCAGAGGAGACTGCCACCCTAGGATAAGACCAGATGAGACTGGAAACTTAAAGCTGGACACCAGTCTCTGTGAGGACCACTGCTTTGTAAGATTGCTTTGTGGTTTCTCCAGCAGCAACACTGACAAAATGACGCCTTATCCACAGAGCTGGATAACAATCTAAAGCATTGCCATTTACTTTGAAACCCATTGATTTTCCTCCTCCTAGGTTATCATTTGGGTCTTCATTTCCCTTGGAAATTGCTCTTTGTTTTGAATTGGAGCACAAGTGGGAGGGCAAGACCCAGCATTGCCTGGTCCTTCTTTGGGAAGAAGACAGGTTTTGGGGGTACTAGTTTGGGGCTGGGGAGGTTGTAACCAATCTCAAACTGGAAAAGGGGGCTGAATTGCTCCCAGGGCCAGGCGGAGGGGAAGCTGGGGCTGGGGACAGATGCAGCGACTGCCCCCTCCCCAGTGAACCTGCGCCCACCCGGCCGGTCCTGCATAAGGAAACACACAAAGGCCCATTTTCTCCTCGCTTCCCGTGTTCCCACTGGGGAAACCCTGTTCCAAGCAGCCTGAGTCGGGCCAAGCAACCAGTAAGGTTTTGCCCAGGGGTGCGCGGAGTGGGGGAGGTGATGTGGGCCTCACTCTCCTAGTCCGTGGGTCTGCCCTTGAGGGCTGCGGGCTCCGCTCCGCGGAGAACTTGGCGCAGTTCCTGGGGGCGGGCACCCGAAGCGGGGAGGTCTGGGTATTGGTGGGGTGTCTGGGCCTTGTCATTTTTCTGTGTATCATCTATCTCTGTTTCATTATCCTGTGGAATTTAAGTGACCCTCGTTTTCATTGCAACAGGTTCGGGACCAGGAGAGACCGCCGCTGTAAGTACCTTCCCGTTTCTCCCGAATCGAATCGCGAATCGCGAAGAGGCGGTGTGGACGGCTGGGGAGGTGGCGGCGGGGCGCACCGGGGAGTGGCGGGTGGCGAGCGGCCCTGCCTCCTCCGGCCTGGCGTGGGGAGGGGAGCTCGCTCCCGGGGCAGAGGGTCCAAGTTGAGCTCTTGGGAGGGTTTTTGGGGCCTAGTTCACAGTCCCCTGACTAAGGGAACGTGCCGCGCGGGCTTCCACCGTGTCGCCCTGGGCCTCGCTGGCCCTCCCGGGCCTTCCCGGGGCCGCCGACTCGCACAGGTGCAGCTCCGCCAGGGGCTCGCGCTAATT